ACTTAAGATATTCATTGCTATCGGGATGTTAAGAGCATTCCATGGAATATAACAAAAAGTGTATCTCGAGCCGGTTTCTCAAACTTACCTACCCCACCTTTAATTCACTCGTCAGTCATAGGATTTTTCCGTCACTGTAGTTAACAGTACTGACCATTTATTTTAGTGTCAGAAGTCTGTGTTTGTAAGGTTGTGAGCATACGGCTGAATACATGAGACTTGGATCATTTTGCTTGAGTTGTATGAGAATTTGTCAATAAAAGTTTTGACCCAACTAATGCTAACCCCGTCATTCTGCTCACTAGCTAACAAGTTAACTAGTTAGCAGAACAAGGCTAAAGTGCCTTCTTCCAGTAAAGACCCACCAGCACGTACAGTAAACTTGTATTCACAGTGTACAACATGCGCTGTGAAAAAGGGAAGTATGCAAATTGAGACACAGCATAGGATTTACTGGAATGACTTCATGGTGAACGTAGATTTAAAAACCAGAGAAAAGTCTTGGTGAAGCCATGGTAGCCGCCATGTTCTACTAGCTAGCTAACAGCCTTGTTCTGATAGATAGCTTACATTGTTAGCTTTAATGTCCACAGTAGGGAATCCTAACAGTGTCTTTTTTAACACCAGTATTGTGGTACGTTTATTAAATAGTTAAAAAAAAAAAATATTTGTATAATGCTGTGTTCACTGACCACAATCACTGCTGGTTGCATCGTCACTGCTACATAGCTAAGAAGGGACGATTGTTGTGTGTCCAGCGTAACACACTTTACTTTTGTACCCTTAAGAGTGCACCCATCCGGTACTCATACAGCATTTTGCCAAACTTCACATTGGCTGTACTTAAAATAGCAAATGTAAGTACCAAAGTACGCCAATTGAGCCACATAGCATTAGATTTCTTCAAGAGTTAAATGTACCATTGGGTGGGCCATTGGAAAACAAAGGGTATTTTTCTGGGTGAAGTTCTCCTTTAAGTGGTGCTTATTAAGCGCTGAGAGCTGGTCTGAGTACCGGTGTCCGTGGCCAGAGTTGAGAGCACACGGAAACCTGAACTCTGCACAGAATCGTGACTCATTTCCTCAGCTGGAAGCGGAGGGATGGCTCCGGTGTGCCAGGAAACAAAGACTCCCTCCTGCACACATCTTGTCACACCGCTGCCCGCCTGTGGATCTCATCTGGCTCATTCCCAATGTTAGTGTCTGTTTATACAATGCCCCATGTTCCTCTGCTGCTTAGTCTGCAAGGTAGCTTAGTCTGAGTCGTGCTAAATATTGTTTCCAAACCCTTCGTGAAGACCCATTGTTCTCACCGGAGGCAGATTAAACTTTCTATAACAAGGGTTTGTTTAGAATAAATCACACGCCCTGAAGGTGATCCAACATCTCGCCCAGTCTACTACCGACTTGATGTTTCAATAGTATATGCTTTAACACTGACTAAAATAACTTGAAGACGATTTCCCAGTCAAAAACATATTGCAATACTTACAGATTTACAGCATCTTACTAGCATACCGTATAGTCAAATAAATAATGCTGGCTACTGAAAGCTAGGTCATTGCACTACCACCTGTTTTTACAGAGGCCTTATTGTGCTTTTGGGGGTGTTCCCTTTCCTGTAGTGTGTTATATAGGTTTTTGTGCATGTAAATGGTCTGCAAAGTTCTCTCCATTAGACTCCTTTGTTTACGTCCTTAACATAGTGACATCACTATGGAACACTCACACTCCTATTGGCTAGCGCTCGTACAATGTACGTATGTAATGTGCGTACGTGATAGGCTAAGGGGGGGGGACATCTCTAAGCGGTTGACCAATCACAACAGAGCCGGCCAGCTAACCAATCAGAGCAGACTGGGCTCTGGTTTCAGACAGAGGGTGAAAAGAGGTGCTGCAGCACAGGCAGTATGAGAAAAATAAAGAGCTTTTTGAACATTAAAGCATGGAGACATGTCCCAGTAGAGACACTACATACTGATATACACCTGAACATCAGCAGGAGAGGACTCTTTAAAGTAGAGACACTACATACTGATATACACCTGAACATCAGCAGGAGAGGACTCTTTAAAGTAGAGACACTACATACTGATATACACCTGAACATCAGCAGGAGAGGACTCTTTAAAGTAGAGACACTACATACTGATATACACCTGAACATCAGCAGGAGAGGACTCTTTAAAGTAGAGACACTACATACTGATATACACCTGAACATCAGCAGGAGAGGACTTTTTAAAGTAGAGACACTACATACTGATATACACCTGAACATCAGCAGGAGAGGACTTTTTAAAGTAGAGACACTACATGCTGATATACACCTGAACATCAGCAGGAGAGGACTCTTTAAAGTAGAGACACTACATACTGATATACACCTGAACATCAGCAGGAGAGGACTCTTTAAAGTAGAGACACTACATACTGATATACACCTGAACATCAGCAGGAGAGGACTCTTTAAAGTAGAGACACTACATACTGATATACACCTGAACATCAGCAGGAGAGGACTCTTTAAAGTAGAGACACTACATACTGATATACACCTGAACATCAGCAGGAGAGGACTCTTTAAAGTAGAGACACTACATACTGATATACACCTGAACATCAGCAGGAGAGGACTCTTTAAAGTAGAGACACTACATACTGATATACACCTGAACATCAGCAGGAGAGGACTCTTTAAAGTAGAGACACTACATACTGATATACACCTGAACATCAGCAGGAGAGGACTCTTTAAAGTAGAGACACTACATACTGATATACACCTGAACATCAGCAGGAGAGGACTCTTTAAAGTAGAGACACTACATACTGATATACACCTGAACATCAGCAGGAGATGTCCTCTTTAAGTGATATTCAACAACTACGTCGTAACTACGTGGCTCTTACACTATCTCCAGATAAGGTCACTGCTTACATCATCGATGAATCCAACTTGAGAAATGTTGCTATAAAGATTCATTCAAAAGAGTTATAACTAAAACTCTCCTTCCTGCCAGGAACTGCCCTCCTCTGTGACCTTTTTCCACACTGACACACTACATTGCCTCGTGTGTTTATTCTACTTTACCATCTATCAGGACCAGCAGTGAATCCTCCCTCTATAGCTTTGTGTCTCCGGAGCCCCACACTGCGTCAGAGCTCGCCACAAAGCCAGAGCAGCGATGAGAGGCGCTCTGAAAGCTGTTTTAATTTCAAGCTCAAGGCTCAGTTAACAGGGTGGGTGTCCTTTACGTCCAGTCCCACCCCCCCTCTCTTGATGCTTTGTCACTGTTGTCATGAGCTTGAGATCCAGCCAGAGAGGAATCCGAGGAATCTTTTTTCCAACGGACCTGGCTCTCGTGTAGAGCTGAGGAGTAACGGTGACATAGTCTAAGCTCCTCTTAAATAGTGGACTTCAGCCCCTGATAAAGAAGCGATTCATGTAGGAACTGACATGAATCTTCTTACACTTTTGTTCCCTTTTACTTCCTTGTTTTGTCTTAAGTATATTGAATGTTGTGTTGGAAGAGCATGGGATTCTCAGTGCCAGAAACAAGGCTGTAGCTGTTGTGCATGTGACAAAAAAGCCTTTGAGTCTTGAGGCTTTGAATCTTTAAAGCGATTCACAACATTGTTTTATACAGAAGCAGCTAGATAGATACTGATGAAGGTAATCCCACACACCACGTCAAAGTTGTGTCTAGGAATAGTGGTCACATTTGGTTAAAAAAACAGAAACAAATACAAACAAATACTGTATGAACCAAACGTAAAATAATTATTATTATTATAATAACGTTATTTTGTGTGCAATTTTTGTATGAAATGTACGAGGAATAAAAAGGCAGCTGGTCTAATTTAACAAAAAGTACATACTGTTTTAACACTTTGTCAACAAGTAATTAAAAAAGATTAGAGACAAATTAAAAGTGTTTATTGTTGTGAAAATGTACCATGAATTCATGCAACCTTTTGTCTTAGGTTTGCCATAGTTTGTTAACAATATTGCCACCAGTTGATATCACGTTTTAAAACATATATATTATACTTAATTGAATCGGCTTTCTTGCCATAATTTGTTATGTATGTATTGAATCGAGAATTTAAATCAAGAACCTGTAAAATGTTCACTAGTCTGTGCATGAACAAGAACATATTTAGTATGTTTATACAGAAATATGATGACATTTTCAACCAGAAAAACTAAAATATCATACAAAATGTAATCTGGTTTCGTGACATAATTTACCGTATTGAATTGAGAATCAATTTAATTTTAAGATACTGAAAGATTTCCTCCTCTAATAAGAACCGACTATGGCCCACAACACGCACAAGTATAGTAAGAGGACTTTTGTATTTTTAATATCAGATGGTGGTTTTGTCTAAAAGCATTTTATGTGTTCTTTCCACCTGCTAATGGGGATCCTACTAAAATCCTAAAAGTCCTAACTCCATCTGGTGCATTAAAAAAACATTAATCTAAAACATGGCCATCACCATGTAATCTAAATTATTAATTTAAAATAAACTTTGCTCAGGGAGAAGCTGAATCTGGTCTAAAACCACCAGAATAAGAGACAGTTTCATCCCACAGGCCATACGACTGTTAAACACCTGAACTTTTGAAAGAACATCCATAACATTCATCTGTTTACAACTCATATATATATCAATATTCCAATTACTGCTTATCGACTATTCTGCACTATTTCTATTATATTATATTTCATTTTATTTACTTGCACTATTATCTGTTTTATTGTCTTGCACTGTTGGAGGAGCCTGTGACCTCAGATTTTCATTGTCATAACTGTAGCTATGTACAAATGACAATAAAAGCCTTGAAACCTTGAAACATGGATGAATACCATTTTGGAGTAGAGTGTGTTCCCCTCAGCAGCAGTGACAGGGTTAATCATACCCATATGGTGTACCAAGAGCTTTGGTCCAATGCTGCTGTGGGCCAACAGGAGAGGGGAGGCAGGGGGGGAGGCAGAGCAGAAGGGAGAGGACAGCGGGGTCTCACACACTCCCCCAACACCTGCACCTGGTCACTAGATTCAGGCAGGATCCGAGAATTCACATCACCGTGGCCATCCGTGCGTAAAGTTAGTGCGTAAATGTTGCCTGGGAGAAATACCGTCGACTGATTATAGGCAGCTTTTCTCTTTCTCTTCCCCCTTTCTCTCTCTCTCTCCCCCCCCCTCTCTCTTTCTCTTTGCAAACCTATCGGATTGTTTTATGCCTGCGCAGCGCCGTCGAGGGACATTTTCCAATCCGGCTCCGAGGCACGAAACGCGGGGAATGCAGCTCTAACATCTCGCAAGTTTTCCCTTTCTTCCCGTTTTTGGATCTACGTGTATCGAGAAGAGTCAGAAAAACAAAAACAAGGTAGGTAATTTAACTTCTCTGTGGTTTTAACTTTTACCTCTGGTGTGGTTACTCTCTCTAAGCGTCACATTTGTTCGGTTCCTATTTCTGGATGTTGAGTTCACAGGTAAGTGCGCACTCCTCCGCGGGGAAGGGAACTAGTTCATTGGAATCCTGTAATTATTTTTATTTTTAAAGAGAAAAACACATGTTATTACAGCTGAACTTTAATCTGCCTTGCCGTTACCACCCTGCTCTGAGAAGCAGGAGAAATATCGTCATTCATAAAAATACCTCGAAATCAGATCATAAAGAACATGGAGCCCCACGGGCACATGATTATGTTTTAGATACTGATTTGAGATATTTTTAAGGTGTTTAAATTAGGTATCTTGCACCTGGATTATTTGTATATCCTTACTTCAATAACAGTAAGTAACATGTTTTGGGGTTTGTGATGTTTTTTGATAATAACGAAGCCATTTTGTCTTATTTTTGTATACAAAATATAAAAATAAGGACTTAAAAATGTGTCTCTGGTGTATATATGGCCATATGCCCATTTAAAAAAAGCGTTATTTTGATTAGTTTCAATGAATAAAATCATTTTTGGCACTGTTTAAAATCCAAAATGCTTCACAAAGATAGAAAACTACAAAACAGAGTCATAAATCATCATCTGTATGTCTCATGTAAGTATTTATTTTATTCTTAAAGTCAAAGCAATGTTTTAAATGCGATGTGTGACTTATAACTGTGACATTTCATGACATACGATCTGTCTGAACATCATTTGGATCCCCTATCTGATGGTGCATGTGCATTATAATTACTAACAGTGCATACATATATCAGAGAGTGTGTGATAGCAGGAATACAGATCAAGCTTCCCTGCTGAGCAGATATATGTGATTATGCCTTCAAGCCAAGGCGTTCCCACTGGCTTCTGTTTTTAATTTTAAACCTCCAGCATGCCAGTTTCATCAGTTTTAATGGGAACATATTTGAGCAAAATGTGTCAAACGTGGATGTATGCCTTATTGTGAAATGTAAGATGAATCTCTAGCTTTTCTGCATGGATACCCCCTCCCTAAAAGCCCTTTTTTTTAGGCTTGTGCCACTGGGAGGGGGTTTGGCTGCATGTATGGCATGAGAAAAAATAAAAGCCCGTGGGATGGCTTATAGCTGGAGCAAAGCACACCTTCAGGGAGACAATTTAATGGATGTTGTGGACTCAGCTTTTAGTATTCATAATTTATACGGGATCCTCTCCAGCAAAGTGCAGATGCATAATGAATGCTTGAGTTAAGGTCTAACAGTTAGGCTACGTTTCAACACCCCTAAACTGTCAGGAACTGTTTCAAAGAGAGCTACCTGTTTCTTTGAACTGTCATGTTTTTCACCCGTCAACTTCTGGGGAAAAGTCTGGTGTGCTTTGTTCAAAGACGGAGGCAGAGGCGCAGGGAATCACTGATGGGTTCAGAGGCTTTTTAAGTTCGGTTTTCTAGGAAAATATTGATTCAAGAGAAAGTACAAGATGAAATAAGGCTGGGTAATATGGGGAAAATCAAATATTTTTGACAATATACCTCATTATCGTGTAGCCTATAGTGAGGCGCTTATCAAATATTTAAAAAGTGAACGTTATGATGAATAATAATCAGTAATGTGAATATATAGAGAGCTGCAGGGATGACATTGTTTTGTAGTGCGACACAGTAAAGCATCCTGGTTCCCTCCACAAAAAGCCATGGGATTTTTCCATTAGATTTCGATATACTGTATTGCAGTAAATAATCTATCAACACACATTTGTGATACTTACACGTTTTGTTCAGTAGGATAATCTTCACATATAAACACTTCGAATTTTGAAGTAAAAAGCTAACGTTAGGCTATAAAGGAACACGGTCACATGTCTTCACGTCACCACCGCTAAGCTAAAGGCAGCTAATGTTGGGCTATAAAGGAACTACAGCACGGTCACATGTCTTCACGTCACCACCGCTAAGCTAAAGGCAGCTAATGTTGGGCTATAAAGGAACTACAGCACGGTCACATGTCTTCACGTCACCACCGCTAAGCTAAAGGCAGCTAATGTTGAGCTATAAAGGAACTACAGCACGGTCACATGACTTCGCGTCACCACTGCTAAGCTAAAGGCGGCTAATGTTGGGCATGATGACGTTTGTCATCTCATTTAGACACTTGTTAGCAAGCGCGTTTTTTTAATTCACCAGTGGGGTATTTACTGACAGATTTATGATATAGAATACAAATCTCTTCAGCTTGTGTTAACCACAGACCTTATTTCCAGACCAGTGGACAGGAAGTGCTAAAAGGCTGACCCTTACGGCCCGTCCACACAGCAGCGTTAAAAAAATCTTGGAGGTGGGCGTATCTGAAACAACCAATCACATGAATCTCCCGCCCCCGACATACGAAGCAAAAAAGCCCGAAGTAAACTGGATATAAACTCCCCAAACAGGCGAAAACATACCACTGTCTCTGCCACCTCCCTCCATGCCTGGCTCCTCCGGTTTGTATCCCGGTAGGTAAATAGGGACTGGTCATAAAGCACCGGGTGATTCCCTACCGCTAATTTCTCCTCCATGTTTTGGAATATGAGGAAATGACCTGCGGTATGTCTCTCCCAGCATACACGCGGGTTGATTGGCTAGCGCTTGAACTGTCAGATTTGCATACACGGGATTTGATTGGCTGACGCTTCCACCTCAGCTTCAAAAGTTGAACATTGCTCAACTTTGAATCCTGAAAATCCTGAAAATCTCCGCTCTGCTGCCCACAATGCAGTTCGGCGAAAAGTGAGGCAAAGTGATGTCACCCCATTCAAAGTGAATGGGCAGAAGCGTTCCAAGATTTTTTTAACGCTGCTGTGTGGACGGGCCGTTAGAGCAGCATTGGTAAAGTCTGGTAAATTCATTAAATGACTTCACTTTACTTGAATGCATCATTTAAAACTAGAAAAAGGCCCTTATAATATTAGGATATCCAAACTTGAAAGAGATCTAACCTCATACAACAATAAAATATCAAAAATATTGCCCAGCCTGAAGATAAAAGCAGAAGACAATCCTTTGTTCTTCTTTGGGACCTTTTCCACGTGTGCTGCATTATACAGTCTCAACACATACCTCACTACATTTACACTTTAAATAAATAATAGGGCTGTCATATTTTCCAGAGCAGGTGTGAAGATGTGTTCTCTGCTGCCAAACTATATCTCTTGAAGGCTGCAGGCCAAACTTCTGATCAGAGACTTCACAGAGAAAGCTCTCTCTCTCCTGTCCTTTCCTTCTTTTTCTGTCTCATATTTCTCACGGGGCTCTCTATAATAATAGTTCATTCCTCTTTTCTTTTTTCGGTCCAGATTTAGATCTCTGTGGGCTACCTGCATGACTGTTACCATGACAGCCTGTGGAGCCGCCCTCCTCCTGTTGGCCCTCAGTGTTTGCAGAGGCCTGCAGCAGTCGGCCCCGCGGATACGCCTCTCCTTCAAAGGTGAGCTCACACACATTAACCAAAACTCCTTGACTTCACCTTAAGGTCCAGCTGCACGATGTGGAACAAATAAGTAATTGTCATTAGCCTTTAAAGGGGCCCTATTGTGCTGATGTGCAGGTGTATATCAGTATGTAGTGTCTCTACTTTAAAGAGTCCTCTCCTGCTGATGTTCAGGTGTATATCAGTATTTAGTGTCTCTACTTTAAAGAGTCCTCTCCTGCTGATGTTCAGGTGTATATCAGTATGTAGTGTCTCTACTTTAAAGAGTTCTCTCCTGCTGATGTTCAGGTGTATATCAGTATGTAGTGTCTCTACTTTAAAGAGTCCTCTCTTGCTGATGTTCAGGTGTATATCAGTATGTAGTGTCTCTACTTTAAAGAGTCCTCTCTTGCTGATGTTCAGGTGTATATCAGTATTTAGTGTCTCTACTTTAAAGAGTCCTCTCCTGCTGATGTTCAGGTGTATATCAGTATTTAGTGTCTCTACTTTAAAGAGTCCTCTCCTGCTGATGTTCAGGTGTATATCAGTATGTAGTGTCTCTACTTTAAAGAGTCCTCTCCTGCTGATGTTCAGGTGTATATCAGTATGTAGTGTCTCTAATTTAAAGAGTCCTCTCCTGCTGATGTTCAGGTGTATATCAGTATGTAGTGTCTCTACTTTAAAGAGTCCTCTCTTGCTGATGTTCAGGTGTATATCAGTATGTAGTGTCTCTACTTTAAAGAGTCCTCTCCTGCTGATGTTCAGGTGTATATCAGTATGTAGTGTCTCTACTTTAAAGAGTCCTCTCCTGCTGATGTTCAGGTGTATATCAGTATGTAGTGTCTCTACTTTAAAGAGTCCTCTCCTGCTGATGTTCAGGTGTATATCAGTATGTAGTGTCTCTACTTTAAAGAGTCCTCTCCTGCTGATGTTCAGGTGTATATCAGTATGTAGTGTCTCTACTGTGACATGTCTCCATGCTTTAATGTTCAAAAAGCTCTTTATTTTTCTCATAGTGCCTGTGCTGCAGCACCTCTTTTCACCCTCTGTCTGAAACCAGAGCCCAGTCTGCTCTGATTGGTTAGCTGGCCGGCTCTGTTGTGATTGGTCAACCGCTTAGAGATGTCGCGCCCCTTAGCCTATCACGTACAATGTGTTGGAGAAGCGTTACACAGTGATGTCACTATGTTCCTGAAGTAAACAAAGGAGTGTTTGGGAGAGAAACAACACAGGGATGTTATCCTCTGCAGACCATTGACATGCACAAAAACCTGTATAACACATTACAGGAAGGTCGAAACCCGGAAAAGCAGTATAGGGCCTCTTTAAACCAGGAAATGACCAAACTTACAATATCCAAGATGATATACTTTCACAATAACGATAAAATATCAATATAATTTTTATATTTTTTACCAAATATCTCAATAGTGTGACGATAATGTAGGTGCTTTGTTTTACCTAAGACCGTGTGTGTAGGTCTTCCCAGTGTCCCCATCCTGTTAGAATTCAAACAAGTGTAAGTCTTAAATCAGAAACCAACATATTTCAGTAAGTTTTCTTCTCAAAATTGAATGAAATTGGCCCTGACAGATATAAGCGAACTTTATATTTGTATAAAACGTCATCTCCTGACCCTTGTGCAGCTTTGGCGACCTCCACGTTGGGAACCCGTGCCCTGAGTCCCTGTGCTCTCACACCCCTGGTAGTTTCCTCTCAATACATATGTAAAGAACGTACTTCCTGCCACATGTCAAAAAGTGCAGCAGTGAAAACAAAAGGTGGATATTACGTGTGGTTGGTTACTGGTTGTGCCCTTCGACAAAAGTTTCTCCCCACACCCTAACACACACACACACACACACACACACACACACACACACACACACACACACACACACACACACACACACACACACACACACACACACACACACACACACACACACACACACACACACACACACACACACACACACACACACACACACACTGAAGCGTGACCCGTCATCTCTCCTGGGGTTTGATGTCTGACATGACGACACGAGAAGGAAACACCTGAAATGTGATCACTGGAGCCCAAATGATATTTAAGAGCTTTTGGCTGAATGCTGGTTTTATCGGGGTTTTTTTTATAGGTGTTTGGGATTTTCCCATGTAGTCCTCTCTGACGTTCAAGTTACAAATGTGTGGAAGACAGCCTTTGATCCAAACAATGCTGCATGATTACTGTTATCTTTGCAGCACAGTGCACCTGCAGACATGCACACACCTTAGAGTACCTGTAGGTGAGAATTAAAGGTGTGAGTGTTACTTTATAGCATTTTTCTAAAGTGCTTTCATGTGGAGGCGAGTCAAAATCCCCGGTCAGGTCTCGGCAGCGCCATATCTTGTTCTGTGCCGCGGTGATTCAGCGAGAAACATTTATGCTTTTCAGCGATGTCGACATCTGACGCAGATTAGAAGTGGGCTAATCATGAGATCTGTGGTTGGAGAGCCTGTTTTGAATTCTTGTCATCTTTGGAGGACAGAAAACAGCTGTCTACATGCTGCTCCTGGCGTCCATTTGTGAGAGAGTGATTGCAGGGTGTTTTTATATGACCTTTAACACTAATCGCCTCGCAGTAAACAGCTTATACACGGCACAGCGTGTGTGTGTTTTTGTGCAACAGGGATCACAAAGTAGCAGTCTGACCAATTACACAAGTCGGGTCTTGAACTTGATCACGTCCGTGCTTTCGTGTAAGATGCAGGAATTCACATCTGTAGAAATGTCTCCGTGACGAATTCATGTTTAGAGCAGCTGAGAGGTGTTACATTATCAGAGAGAAGTTCTCAGATCGTGTACTTGAGTAAAAGTAGAAGTACTCAGGTCTTGTACTTGAGTAAAAGTAGAAGTACTCAGATCTTGTACTTGAGTAAAAGTAGAAGTACTCAGGTCATGTACTTGAGTAAAAGTAGAAGTACTCAGGTCTTGTACTTGAGTAAAAGTAGAAGTACTCAGGTCTTGTACTTGAGTAAAAGTAGAAGTACTCAGATCTTGTACTTGAGTAAAAGTAGAAGTACTCAGATCTTGTACTTGAGTAAAAGTAGAAGTACTCAGGTCTTGTACTTGAGTAAAGTAGAAGTACTCAGGTCTTGTACTTGAGTAAAAGTAGAAGTACTCAGGTCTTGTACTTGAGTAAAAGTAGAAGTACTCAGATCTTGTACTTGAGTAAAAGTAGAAGTACTCAGATCTTGTACTTGAGTAAAAGTAGAAGTACTCAGGTCTTGTACTTGAGTAAAAGTAGAAGTACTCAGGTCTTGTACTTGAGTAAAAGTAGAAGTACTCAGATCTTGTACTTGAGTAAAAGTAGAAGTACCAGAGTGTAGGAATACTCTGTTACAGTAAAAGTCCTGCATTCAAAATGTTCCTCAAGTAAAAGTAGAAAAGTATTATCATCAAAATATAGTGAAAGTAGCGACAGTAAAAGTAGTCATTGTGCAGATTGGTCCATTTCAGAATAATATATATGATATGTTTTATAATGATTGATCATTAAAGTGTTCTCAAAGCTGGTAAAGGTGCAGCTAGTTTGAATGACTTTGTATACTGCAGGGTAGCTTGTGAATTTACTCCAGGTGGAACTAAAGTCTGATTTAACACTTGATTATATTTCACATCATTCATCCAGATCTGTGAAGTAACTAAAGGTATTAAATACATTTAGTGGAGTAGAAGTACACAATTTACCCCTGAACTGTAGTGGAGTAGAAGTACAAAGTAGCATCAAATGGAAATACTCAAGTAAAGTGTACTTAGTTACTTCCCTCCTCTGTAAATTACTACATTTCTTTGAGGTTTTTAAACATTCATCAGCCTCCCCTCCCCCAAACAGGAGGTAAGTTGGATTTACTCCCCGACTGTTTTCTGCCACTCGGAGGATTTATTGTTCATTGTTTGTGACACGGAGTCTCTTTGTTCCCCGAGGCGCCTGGAGGAGGACATGTGACTCTTCTCAGAGACTCTGCAGAGGAGACGTTGTGTTTCCTCCGCTGCTGGGAAGTTGTGTCACTTACTCAAACTGTACAGGGGACGGAGGGGCTTTGATAGAGTTAGTCAGCATTGCTAGAGAGCAGCAGTGAGGCTGAAACCAGAGACACGCTCGCACACACACTCTGAAGATATGAAGCCATGGGCGGCAACATTTGGAAAATATATCTTAGTGACATTATTTTGACTGATGTTGCAATTGCGATATGATTCTAGATATTGGATGGGTGGATCATTTTTCAACCATGAGTCTCATTATCATTGAAATATTGTCTATGTGGGTGTGTTTAAGATGTTCTGAACAAAATACATATGTTTTATAAAATCTATGGCTAAAATCCCCCCTTTTCTGAAATGCCCCCATTAGACTCCTTTCTTTACTCTCAGGACATAGTGACATCACTACGTAACACTTGCACTCCTATTGGCTAGCGCTCCAACACATTGTACGTATTAGACTTAGGGGCGGGACATCTCTAAGCAGGTTGACCAATCACAACAGAGCCGGCCAGTTAACCAATCAGAGCAGACTGGGCTCTGGTTTTATTCTTTTTAAATCTATTTTTAAGGAGAAATTCTGGCAAACTTGAAATGTAAAATGTTGCTTTTCCGTGATTCTTTGTTGATCAGATCCACAAATTGATAAGTCGTCAAAATTGTGTTATTGTTAGACGACGTAGAAGAAGTTTACTCCCGGTTTTTTTAAGTACATTTTTCATTTTAAATGACTTCAAAGAAACTTATCAGCACATCTCTGGTAAAAATAATATATAAGTTGGTGGTGAAGTGGTGGATTCTTGGTGGTAAAAGAGAGTTTTACAGATCTTCTTGATAATGTAACTCATTGATTAGGTCACAAAGACGAGACCCTCTTCAGTCCAGGGAAGACCATGAAGAAGAATGTCATTCATTCCCCTCGGTGCTGTCGTCAGACCGCTCATACTTGAGATCGTCCTGCGACTAAACGGCCTCGGTGACGGTATGC